AAGTATAGTATGAGTACAAAGCACGTACTTAGTAAGTATCAAGTCTAGCCTCATAGAAGTAGTGACAAAAGGTCAATACCGACACTCACTAACAGTCAAATAATCAGATGAAAGAATAAATCAATATGACTACAACTGTCATTACCAAGCACCCGATCACATCAAATTCTTCCCAAGACTGAAGGATTTGATTGGGTTAGATGTCCCAAGTAAGGATTTAATTATTGATATTGATATTTACAGGATTTTGCAGGACAAATTCAAGATCAAAGCTAATGTGATAACATTCAAAAAGCAATTCAAGCCATATTGTGCAGTCCCGAGATTGTTCCTAGAAGAAGATCAAGTTAAGGAAATTGAAGCACAAATCACACAACACTCATGTGCAGAATCTCACACTTAATTCTTAATCAAATGTGACAATCCTTTATGGAAAAATGAAAAGTTCTTCGTCAAGCTGTCCTTCAAGAAAAATGAGAATATCAATCCTACAAAGGCAAGTCACTCTGATATGAATCCCGACCACCTTTAGCTTGCAAAAAAAGAGTGTCAGGAGCTAGTGAATTTTGATCTCATCGAGCCATCAAATTCATAATGGCGTGTGAAGCATTTTTATGTCAACAAAAAAACCAAGCAAACAAGAGGTAAATTGAGATTGGTAATTAATTACCAAGCACTCAATCATTTTCTTTTGGATGACAAGTTCCATCCCAAATAAGCTCACCCTTTTCTCTCAACTTGTCAAAGCAAAATATTTTTCTAAGTTTGATCTCAAATCGGGTTTTTGGAAATTAGGAATCTACCTGGATGATCGGGAAAAAGCTAGTTTTTTATTCCCGATCACCATTTTCAGTGAAAAGTCATGCATTTCGGTTAAAAAACTGCTTCATCTTTATTTCAAAAGGCCGTGATAAAAATATTTCAGCCCATCCTCCACACATCACTTGTTTATATTAATGATATTTTACTATTTGTGATACTTGGGAGGATCACATAAATTTGCTAAATTATTTTTGCATATTTAGTGCGAAAAAATGGCATCAACTTTTAACCAAAAAATGGTTCTTACAACGAAAGAAATTGATTTTTTGGGCATGCATTTTTCTCATGAAGAATACATCTCATGTACTCATATTTCTTAGGAACTTCTCAAGTTCCCTGATACTTGGTTCACAACGAAGCAAATCCAGGAGTTTTTAAAAATAATAAATTATGTGAGAGATTTTATTCCTAATGTTTCTACATATATTTTTCCTCTCACAAAAATATTGAAGAAAAATGTCCAGCGATGATGCAAGGAACAAAATGAGGCAGTGAAAAAAATAAAAGAGATATCCCAAAGTATCATATCTTTGCACATTCCCTCATGGAAAGAAAATATTGCAGACAGATGCAAGTAACGAATATTGGAGTGCAATTTTGCTTGAGGAAGAAAATGGCCAAAGAAAAATATGCGGTTATGCCAATAAAAGATTTAAGGGTGCTGAACAACACTATCATTTCGCTTTCAGGGGGATTCTTGCAGTGAAAAATGAGATTAAAGAGTTTAATTTTTTCCTAATTCACTCAGAGTTTCTTATTGAGATGGATATGAAGGCTTTTCCGAGGATGATCCAGCTGAATTCAAAAATTATTCCGGATACGCAAATTCTTAGATGGGCTCAGTGGTTCTCTCCGTACAAGTTTCAGGTCAAGCACTTGAAAGGTAAATGTAATGTTCTTGCTGATTTCCTTTCAAGGCCAAGTGAATTTTCCAAAAGGTTTCAAAAAGTTTCCACCCCTTGTGGTATCAGACACAGGAAGAAGAGATCGACAAGTCAAATATTCATATTTTTAGAGGCTCCGTGGCCAAGTTCCTCATCAATATCATCACATCACCCGCCAAAGCTATTAGAATTTTCAGATCCTATTGATCCATTCATCTTGCTTGGAAGCAGAAATTTTTATAAACTCCAAGTTTTCAGGGCAAGCATTATCCATCCGGAGTATTCATATTGTCATATTTTCACAGCACATGGTAGAAATTTTTTACATGAGCTTTTATGGTTCTTTTGGTATTTATGTTATCAATACTACATTCTTATGGAATTTGAAAGTGGTGACTTTCGGAATTTTGAAAATCTTGAACCCTACCTAAATTTTTTTTTGTTGTAGCTAAAAAATATTGGGTTCATCATTTTAATTCTAGTGGAGCCAAAATATTTATGTTTCACAGGCATTTGACATTGTCCAGGGCTCCATACAGTTTCTCTTTGCTATCATTATCGAGACACAATTCAAGCAAGGGAAGAAAAGTTCGCTGAATCCTAGAAGATGATTTTTCAGCAGAACAGACACATTCCAAAGGTGATATGGCCAGGAAAAGAAAAGAATTGTAATTATTTTTTCACCTATCCTCTTTGGGAAGATGTTAAATCAGAGATCAAAGAATACATGGCGCCGCTTGGAGACTCGCAAGAACCATATGAAATTAATCCAACAGAAGTTGCTAAGATTATTTTAAATGGAAAAAACAACACTTCGTCGCATAAGATGACATGTAAAAGAGTAAGAGTTATGGAAGAAGATCAACCACATATAAGGAAATATTTCATAAGAGCTGGAAAGCGAATGCTAGAAGGGTTATAAAACAAGTGACGCTAAGATTCCATTTGAAGTAACGTGACAGGATTCAATGTTGCTTCATCTTATATTCTCTATCAGGATCCGGAGAAGGGGAACTACAACTAAGAAAGAATAAGAAGAATTGTTTAAGTAAGGTAGTCATTTTTTAAAAGCTTATACCTGAAACTACACGTGCCAGTGTAGGAGTCGATTGGGACTAGTCCCTTTCACACCATTGTGAGATTATTCCCCAGTATTGGGATAATGTATTGTATTGCTATCATAGACACGTCGATACACATGACATCATGGTGAGATGGCTTAGCCAATCGGGTCGAGATCGGACGCCATACTGCACATATAGTGGTTATATGACTGTATGTCGGTAACTAATGATCTTCTAACCCGAAAATGTTAAAGTTTATTTGGTGATTTACTTATGTTTTAACTTGACATTTTAAATAATGTTATTTTTCTCACTACGTTCATGTTTTCTCTCCTTATGTTGGCATTTTATTCCATGTAAGGGTACTTAGCTTTATATACTAGTACTATTCTACATGTACTAACATCCCTTTTGCCGGGTACGCCGCATCTTTAATGGATGTAAGTGGTACCTCAGCAGGTGACACAGATTCTTGATATGAGCGTACCCTCCATCAAACGAATTTTGGTGAGCCCTACTCTATATCGGGTCCTATGAGGTATTGATCTTGTACATTATTTTTAAGGTATAACCGAGGCCTTGGCACCCTCATATATTCTCATGATAGTCTAGAGGCTCCGTAGATATACTGTGGGTCATGTTAGCATGGAAGGAACTATAAAATGCTACTTTTGTCATTTAATCCACTTGTAAACTAAGGATTTGTATTTTTTGCATCTACCAGTGAAACTCTTTAATTAACAAAAGTCAGTGATGTACATTTCTATCATCTCGATTGACTATCTATTGTTATTTATTCTTGAATCATTTATGGGCAATGTTAGATAGTAGGCACCAAGTAGGCTTGCTTGACTGAGATATCTCGGTTGAGCGCCGATCCCACTCGGCATGACAGAAAGAACCAAAACTCAACATCGATACAATGAACGCACAACCACCAAAAATAATATCAATACAAATTGTTGACTACAAACTTCTTTTATTAACTTCAAATAGCATTAGCACAAAGTACATCCTCTTTGATTATCAAAAAAGGAATTGAATAAGCTACCAAAAGATAAAGCTTACCACAAAGGTGGAAAAAACCTAACTACTAAGAAAGATAGTTCATAGACTATCTTACAAATTCTTATATTATGTAGCAGTCTTTGGTCACAAACATAATCACCTTGAATATAATTACAATTAAATCAAAATTATCAATCTCCTCTAATTTTTTTTTTTAATTTCTACCTCCCTTCACAAATGCATCGAATGCCTTCTTCTTCTTAAGCATCCCTAAGATAACACCTTTTAAGTGCTCAAGAATTGGGGATCAAACCATACAAAAAAGTTACAGCCCGTCTTATGATCCTTCTAAGAAATAAAATTTTAGTATTAAAAACTGAAATATTGAATTTAACAAAAAAATTTATACTAAGCTTACCTCGTAGAATCTACACTTCTTTAAACGATGACCAGGATTATCAATCTCCATGAAATTACCAGCACAACTTCTTCACCATAATGGCAGATATGCTTAAAATTATACATCGCATAAGAACTTTTAATTTTTTTTAGTTTTAAACGAGAAATAAAAGAAAATATGCAAGATTGATAATTACATTCTAATTTAAAGAGAAATTATACAAGATAAAGAAGATTGGAAAAGAAAAAAACTTCAAAAGCTTTGAAGCCAATGATGGAAGAAGAAGGGAAAAAATTCGAGCGGTTGGGTCTAATTTTTGGCAAAGGGTTGAGGACTCTTTTTAATGTAAAGAATCATTAACATCTATTTTTGATTGTTGATGTTTGTTTGATTTTCACGCTATCTTGTGTTGGCGCTTTACACGTAAAAAGTTATCCAAATTTAACCCGTCGTATACATACTTAAGAAAAATTGAGTGCGTAAAAAGTTACCCAAATTTAACATGTGTGTCACGGAATTTGACTTAAAAGGTCAAGGGGTAACTTGAGGTCTGTGGCTATATGTTCAGGTTATCCTTTTAAAAATACTCTTAACTGTAAAACAATTGATTTTACTTTCAATTGAAAGCAAATTACTTTGAAAGTCAACATAGATGAACAAATCAGAGAAAAAGTAAAAAAAGTAAAAAAAGTTAAAGATTTGCTCAAGTTCATAACCTTAAAATATTTGGGGCAGAGTAGAAATTTTGTGAAAGAAGAAGGCTCTTTCCACAAAAAAGAACCCAATCAATTCAAAAGAAAAAATGAAATAAATGAAAGAGAAAATTGAAAGAGACGAGAGACAGGGAAAAAGGAAACCACACGACGGAGGTCGGAGGAAGAATAGAACCAGTCACCGCCGATACTTACTCCTTCCCTTCAAACCCTAATTCAATGTTCACTTTCTCTTTCTAATCTCTCTCTATCTCCATTATTGCTGCCTCGACTTTTTACATATACATACATATTGTATACGTATATGTAGCTTTTAAAATATATATGCATCTATATATTAAGATTATTATTCATGTCCTTCATTCATTCACAGCTAATCATCTGCAAGTTAATTGACCATATTGCTCTTGCTGTTGCTTCCAGTTTACAGATCTGTACAGCGACAATTGCCCTGTTTCTAAGGGCAATATTGTAAAATTCTGCCAGATCTGCTGCGACTTGAATATTTCCAATGGATGAGCTCGATGTGTTAGCTCGAGACTTCGGGTTCCGACCAGCAGGAAAATCGGCACCGATGAGATCCGACGCCGGAGATCGACGTTCCTCCTCCGTCCGATCAACGACCTCTTCGCCATTGTTTGATGATCCTGATGGTACGTTATTTAACGATGTATTTGGCGGGCCTCCTAAATACACAAATACTAGTGGCAATAGCAATAAGTCGGCGTCGATGAACGATTTCAATTACGATTCAATTTTCAAGTCGGGGAATGAATCGAAGAGCAATAACAATAACGATGACAACATGAAAACATCGTCGTTGCCTGTTTACGACAAGCCAGTATACGACGAGGACATATTTGATGGATTACCGGGAGTAAAGAGTAAATCAGTATCTTCATCCACGGCGAGATTTGAAGACGATGTTTTTGCTACAATGACTTTGCCGCCTCAGAGGACTGATAATAAGAGTCATTTTGATGATCTGTTGGGGAATTTGGGGAGGAAAGAGAAGGTGGCTGAACCGAAGAGCGGCAAGAGCAGTGGTTCCACAGAGTTCGATGATTTACTAGCTGGCTTTGGGAGTGGCAGTCCTGCCACCAGTAGCAGGTACTTTGTCATATCTTTTTGGAGCTCCTTCCCTATCCCATTGTTTAATTTCAGCTATTTTTGGTGCAATGAGACATAAATAACAAATGTGACCTGGCTGTTGAACTAAGCCTTGCATTTAAGTGGAGAAGGACAGAGAAGGCTGACCCACTATCTCCGAGTTGTGAAGCTGAAACATTGGAGTTTATAGGTCATTAACAATAACAGAATTTCATTGACTTCCTATTATTTTGTTGCACGAACAAGAAAAGCATTTGCAAGCACCTCTTATGAAATCTTACTTGGACTGGAGATCAGTGATTCAGGATTTAATTATTTAGCTCGTGTGGGGAAATATTGTTGGATATCATAGAATTTGAAAGCTGTATGGCCTTCTTTATCGATTGGCGTGTAGGTGAACTTAGTACACTCCTGAGAGTTATTAATGTATTGCTGAATTACTAGAGCTATTAGATAGTACTAGCATTATGTTCATCTGGATAAAACATGCCTCATTTTGAGAAATTGTTTCTGGTAATGGCTTGCTGTCTGTATTTAAGGGTTTGCTTAGCTTAAACGATGATGTTCATAGATTATCTTCTTTCGAAAGTGAAGTTCACAGACAAAAACTTGTACTAGGGAATATTATCATGGAATGATGATTGTGCATATAAAGTATAAACTGCTTATTTATTATGATTGGCTGTTCGAAAACGGTTCTGCATCTTATGTAGTTATTGCCCCTTTGTTTTTGGGGTTTGGAGAGGGCTTTGGGGTTGAACTCCAAACATTCTTACTTCTCTGCAGTCATAGAAAAGGGTCAAAAATTTTTGTACTGTCAAGATGGAGAACATGATCAGATCATCTGCTTTCTCTGGTTGACATGCATACTATTTTTAAGGGTGTAAATACTGCTTTAGAGGGCTAACATAATAAGCTTGTTCCCTTTGTATGAAGAACTGGTTGTCCATATAAATTTTTCAGTCATTCTCACTTTATATAGTCTTTGAAATCTCCATAAGCCTTGTTGCTAATACTGTAATACATGGAGTAATTTCCGTCTTCTCTTGGTATGCTCGTGATTGGCAAAAGAGTAGTTGGTTGAAACTGTCACCTCTAACCGGTAAGCGCAAAAGATGCAATTTTTGTGACAGAGGTGTTAAAGTCCTGTCATCCTTGGCAATTAGCGGTTCAACTGAACCTGTTTAGTAGTTTGGATGTCTTGTTAAAACGAAGTTTGTTCATTTGTTTTTTTGATTAGGTAAGATTTTATTAAAAGGTACCTGTTAGATAGTTATGTATAAATAGTTCTAGTCCCATATATAGTAGGAGTAGAATGTATCCTAGTTCCATATGTGGTAAGAGTAGAACATGTCCTAGTCCCATATGTAGTAGGGAGTAGAATATGTATTATATATAGGGTTCATTGTATCATCGTTAATAAATAGATTTTTCTCCCATGCATTCTCACATAGTATCAGAGCTTCAGTAAGAAAATTATCGTTGTGCGTCATTCCAGCGACTCTGGGGAAGAAAAATCACATCGCCATGCATTTTTTCGGCAACTTCGTCTTGTTCCCGGGGTTCATCACTGCTACAGTAGTACTGTGCATATACCAGTACCACCATCAGATCCGAAACCTTTAGCGACCAAACCCCAGAAATTCCAGTTCCATCTGAACAGAAAAGTGAGGCACCGTGCGTCTTTCCGATTGACGACTCAAGATTGATTTGCGTTATCTCCTCATCAGTAAGTGTTGTGCGAAAACCAATACTACCACCTTGTTAGGAAAAGTCAGTTGACAAAACCTTAGTCAATCGCTCCAGCTGAAAGTCGTGCGCCTCCATGCGCCGCCAGAATTAAGGTTCCGGCGAGCTACAATATCTTTTCCGGCTCGTGTGAGCTATTCCGGCCACTTTTTGACAAAACTTCTTTCGGACAACTTACTCGTGCAGTGACCCTACCGATATAAATTACATCAAATTCTGATAACTTTTAATTTTTCCGGTGTGAACAATTAGCTTTCCGGTGTAAACAATGATTTCGGTGTGAACAGTAAATTCAAGTAAAGTTTCTGTTTTCTGGTTGTGTTTTAGAACATATTTTGTAATGTGGAATTCGGCTTAGTCTCACTATTTTCAAACTTTTCCAGTGACCTTTTGGCCAACTTTTGTTTATCGGCAATCACCTGGTTTGGTTTTGTTGCTCAGGGGGAGTCTAGTGGCCTTGTATGTCGAATGATCAGCTTGCAGATATTTTCACCAAGTCCGTCACTGGTCATCGTATTAGTTACATATGTAACAAGCTCAGTACATGTGATTTGTATGCACCGGCTTGAGGAGGAGTGTTAGATAGTTATGTGTAAATAGTCCTAGTCCCATATGTAGTAGGAGTAGAATATATCCTAGTCCCATATGTAGTAAGAGTAGAATATATCCTAGTCCCATATGTGGTAGGAGTAGAATATGTCCTAGTCCCATATGTAGTAGGGGTAGAATATATATTATATATAGGGCTCATTGTATCATTGCTAATAAATAGATTTTTCTCCCGTGCATTCGGACAGTATCGAGATGGTACAAAATTAGAAACATCCAAGCTAATATAACAAAGCAACTATATTCCTCCTAGCTCCTCTAGAAAATCCATATATTGCTCCATATTTTCCATTACATGTCTTTTACACCAGAAATACTAGTTTACTAAGCATCTTTTTTTAATCCTGGATACATGATGCCTTTCCCCTTCAAAGCAAATCCTGTTTCTTTCCAATCATATTGTCCAGAACACACATAGAGGAATTGTTCTCCATACTATCTGTTGACTTTTTGCCACTTTTTGTTGTTGCCATGTCTCCAACAAACTCTTTACACGGGAAGGCATTGCCCACTTGACATCATATATATTTAGGAAGAGCTCCCAACACTGCTTTGCCACTCTGCAATGGATGAGTAGATGATTGACTGTTTCTACCTCTTTTTCACACATGTAACACCTGTTACATAGAACAAAACCTCCCCTGAGTAAGAAAAGCTTCCTTTGCTGCAATCCAACCAAAACAGGCTACTTTAATAGGTGCTTTTGACTTCCATATTGCTTTCCATGGCCAATTTGATTGATAAAGCCCTTGTTGTTTTTGTAACAAGCGATAACAACTGTTGACTGTCAAGATACCATCATTACTTGTTGCCCAGATTAATGAGTCTCTCATGTTTTCCTTCAATCTAACATTATCCAATAATTGCATCAATTGAGAAATTCATCAACTTCCTAGTCATTGAGGCCCCTCCTGAAGATTAGCTGCCAGCCAATGCTTGAATAGAAGTTTGTTCATCTATCATTTAGTTCTTTGTTGTTCATGTTTTTCTTTCATGTTACCAGAGTTGGCTGGAAACTGATGATTAGATTGTTTACGTAAGTGGTATGTTAAGATGAAAACAAGATTGAGAAGGGAATTTGCCCCACTGGCCGAGATAAATAGACTGTATTTGGAATGTGGGATAATTTTCTTTTCTGCATATCATTTACTAATTAGAGTCACTGATTAGATTAAACTAAATGTACTCCGAATGCAGGAAATTTATTGCTTTAACTCTGTTGCATTAATTTTGATTCTGTTATGATTAAAGCTGTGCTTTTACCGCAGGTCATTTACAGAGTCAACTCAACCCTCCAAACCTGCTGGAAATTCAAATAGAAGCTCTAGTGTGTTTGATGACCCTTTCGTAGTTTTAGAGTCTACCTCGGTGCCAGCAAATTCTTCTCCCGGGGAGTTTTCAGATCCACTGGAAGAGATTGGTAAGCTTGGTAAATCTGGAACTGCGAAAACTGATGCTTCATCAGTTAGTGGAGGGGTGTTTGATGATCTAGATCCACTTAATGTTTTTAATAATCCGGTTCATCCACTTTCCCCTGAGAAGAAGACTGGAGGTAAGGACAGGAGCCCATCAAAGGCTGGACCAGGAAGGAGTGATGCACATACCTCTACCTCTAGAGAAAATATTGGGACATCATCGTTTAGATCTTCTGAAAGCCACTCACAGAAAAAGGTTCGTGGGGATCAGGAGTCTCCTCTTTTTGGCATGCCTTCAGAAGATCCTCTGAGATCTTTCAGTGAAGCTGCTCCACCTCCATATGCAGATAATGATCTTCAAGAATCAAACTTCCAAGTAGATACATCCCCAAGATCAGAGGAACAAGTGCAGTCTTCTGATGATATATGGCTTACTGTATCAGAGATTCCTTTTTTTACACAACCTACAAGTGCTCCACCTCCGTCGCGACCACCGCCTCCAATACCACAGCGCAGTTCAAAATCAGAGGCAAGTTTCGTCGCTTCAAATGCAAGAAGGAAGGGTGATGGGTACTCCTCTTCCCCAAATCACAACCAGTATTCTCAGAGTCCTAAGCCTGTCCGTCCTGCAGTTAAAAGCCCTCCAGTCTCACAATTGGATGAACTTGAGGATTTTGCCAGGGGTTGGCCCAGGAGTAACAGTGATGAAAATGCTGATGCTCTTTCTGGAGAAGAGATGAATGCGAACTCTGTAGCTGCTGCCTCAGCAGCTGCAATGAAGGAGGCTATGGATAGTGCCGAGGCCAAATTTAGACATGCTAAGGAAGTCCGAGAAAGGGAATATGCAAAATCTGCTAAGAGTAAGGAAGCTGTACATCTAGAAAGGGATGAACAAGCAATAAATGAAGTGCAGGAACGAGAGTTTCAAGAAAACCAGGAGAGACTAGAAAATGAGAGGCGACAGCGGGAAAAGGAAGAGGAAGAAAGAGCACAAAGGAAGCTTGAGAGAGAAAGGGAGAGAGCGAGGGAGCTTGAAAAAGAAAGGGCTAGGCAAGCGGTAGAAAGGGCTACTAGGGAAGCACGGGAAAGAGCAGCAGTTGGGGCACGTGACAGAGCAGCTGCTGAAGCTCGTTTAAAAGCAGAAAGAGCTGCTGTGGAGAAGGCTGCTGCTGAAGCTCGAGGACGGGCTGAAAGGGCTGCAGTTCAGAGAGCACAAGCAGAAGCTCGCGAAAGAGCTGCAGTAGAAGCTAAAGAAAGAGCTGAAAAGGCAGCTGCAGAAGCAAGGGAAAAAGAAGCGCGTGAAAAAGCTTCTGCTGTGAAAGCTGAGGCTGAGGCACGGCGACGGGCGGAACGAGCAGCAGTAGAAAGGGCAGCTGCAGAAGCTCGAGAAAGGGCAGCTGTAGAGGCTCGAGAAAGGGTAGCTGCTGCTGCAAGAATGAACCAACAAAGGAATGATAATGATCTTGAGTCCTTTTTTAGTATGGGTAGAGCCAGCAGTGCACCAAAGACGAGAGCGAGTACTCCAGTGAGTAGCGAACATCATTAACATTCTTTGTTCTTTATTTTAATTTTTTTTATAAGTAACGATAAACCTTTGTCGTTCATTCTTGCTGACCTTTTACTACATTCGCTGCCATTTTTAGGACAATGTATTTGATTCGCAATTCCAGACTAAGGCAGGATCTGAAGGGCCAAAATCAACTTCTGGTGTAGCATCCTCCAACATGAGGAAAGCATCTTCCACTACTAGTTTCGTGGATGATCTTTCTTCCATTTTTGGAGGTAATTCATCGTGTCTTCATGCGCAAACATTATGTATCTGATTTGGTTTTTAAGTTGTTTGTCGTGGCTTTATTGTGTACTATTGAACTTCACCAGCTTCTGCATCATCTGGAGATTTCCAAGATGTTGAAGGGGAAACTGAAGAAAGAAGAAGAGCCAGACTTGAACGCCACCAACGTACACAAGAGCGTGCGGTATATATCCTGACAAATAATATTTTCTTTCTAGTCATGTTGGATATTTTACAGCTTTTAGCATGTAGTCTGTTGGTGCTCATTGTTTATGTATTTATTCATAGTTGATATGTATGTGCTCAGGCTAAAGCTTTGGCTGAAAAGAATCAGCGTGACCTTCAAGTGCTGAGGGACCAGGAAGAAAGACATGTAAGTTCTGTTTTGGCAAATAACTAGCAAAAGCTATAAGTAGAAATTTGCTGTTGATATGCTTGTCCTGCCTTAACCCAAAAGGTAGCGACTTGACTCTCATAGCCGTGTTATCAAAGGGCAAAGGCGGAAAATGCACTTAGGATGGGGCTTTAAGCCCAAAACGCAAATGAAACGCGTGCTCCAACGAAGAAAAAATGAGGTATATACGTGTAGTTGAAGAATAATCACTATAAGCAGAGACAAATATTGTATGAATTAAGTAATTGAAGAAATTACAACTAGATGGAAGATTTATTGTTTAGTGCTGCTCTCTTAGCAAGTAGTGGTTGGATTTTTATTAACAAGCTTTTTTTTTTCTTCCTATAATTTAAAATTCACGAGTCCAGAAATTAGCATTTTGTATGGTTGACTACAGCAGTACTTAGTTCAAAGTGCTGATTTTTTTAGCGGTAGTTTGAAGTGCTGAATAAATCGAGTTAAAGCAAGGAACATTAATATTGCTCCTTGTTTCCTTGCTTCTATACATGTCACATTTAGTGAATAAACATGAGTCAAGTGTTGTTGGTTTCTTGGTTGAACTTGCATTCTAAAGATGAGCTTGCTTTTTCCTCGTTCCTCTTTTTTAAGTTTTATTTGTATCGTCATCCTTTGCTTCTTTGACTGTTGCTGTTTATTCTTTAATCTTATTGGTTTACTAATTGTTGCAGAGAATTGCTGAAACATTAGATTTTGAGATCAAGCGATGGGCTGCTGGAAAAGAGGGAAATCTGCGTGCACTTCTATCGACTTTGCAATATGTGCGTTTGGTTTCCATACATAATTTGCCCATATTTTGTTTAAAATAATCCCCCTCCCAATTAAACCCTTATCACCTGAAGGAATACTGGTGTTTCTTCTAAAATATAGATATAGAAATTTTAGGAGCCAAAAGAAAACATACAAACAACTTAGTCTGTCTATTGTCGTGTTTGGTTGCTAGTCAATCATATTTTCTTGGAGATAGTTACCCTCAGCCCTCCCACTTTGAACACCATCGTTGTAAAAAGGAAAATGAAACTACCAGTTTCTGAAATGGAAATTCATAAGCCAAAGTCACTATGATTTCAAATCTCTTGGAAATCATAAACTTTTTTATCTAGTTTTGATTAGGTTATCTAGTTCTTGACTATCCTATTCCTCAAATGTTTGAACTTTCTTCACTTCTTAATAATAATATCATCCTGTTCGAAGTCATTTCAACTTTTTTTTTTCTTCTCCTTATGATGTGATTTTCTCTCGTGTTTATTCATCAGGTGCTTTGGCCTGAATGTGGTTGGCAGTCTGTGTCCTTGACAGATTTGATAACGGGCGCCTCTGTCAAAAAAGTATATAGAAAAGCAACCCTATGTATTCATCCTGATAAGGTGCAGCAGAAAGGTGCCAACCTTCAACAAAAATATATTGCCGAGAAGGTTTTTGACCTACTTAAGGTACTTAACAGTGATCAATGCATCTTAGATTCATGTGCCACAAATTATTCTCTTTTTTGTTTTTTGGATGAGACATGTAATAGATTTCCAGCAACTGTCATGGTTTGATATTATTGTAAAGCAGATGTGAAAATAGACTCCTCTGTTAAGGCATGAAGAGTCTATCATTCCATTGTTGCTGTAGGCTTGGTGGACCTATTGACAGTCTTCTTTTTCTGGTCGTTATCATCCATATGTTCCCGACTACTCACTTCTTTTCTCCAATCTGTTGATTTTAAGTGGTCGCGATTTCTGCATCCTTTTACCTGAATTGCTTAGCTTGAGTTATTGTCTTACTTTTTGCCAAAATTATCATTGTAATATCCTTTTCCTGCCTTTGTTATTTCTGATTGCACAACTCTCTTTAGCTTATTCTCAAGTTATATTTTTCAGGAAGCATGGAACAAATTCAATTCTGAGGAACTATTCTAGATGCTGCATTTGAGTTAGCTGTAGCTCCCTTTTGGACTTTTCAATTGAAGAGGTGGGTAAATTTTCCTAAAGCAAGCTCGTCATTGCGATGCCTCTGATATCTAGCATTCCCCAGCATGTGGCGTTCGGTGGACTGCTAAAGATGGTCTTTTTGGCCATGACGATAAAGTAAATTTTTACTGTGTTGCTGTAAATTGATGTCAATGCCAGAGTCATGTGGGTAACTGGCACTTGAAGTAACTGGTTGGTGTAGAATAGCATTGTTTCCAATCATGTTATGCTTCTATATTGCATTTGGTCACCGTCTCTCTGCATGTGATCATTTGTCCTCAATATTCTTTTTTGGTTTCTTTCCAGTTAAGCTTGCATTTGTTTGTACTGTCATTGTTGTTAGCTATATGCAACATGGGAGGAGCATTGTAATATTGTTGAGCTGAGTATCACACAAGATGTAAAATCCTATGTAATTTCCTATTCTCTTGTTGCCTCTTTGAGCCGAGGGTCTCTTGGAAACAGCCTCTCTGCCCCTCGGGGTAGAGGTAAGGTCTGCGTCATATTACCCTCCCCAGACCCCACTTGTGGGATTACACTGGGTTGTTGTTGTTGTTGTTGTTGTTGTTATGTGAAAATTTTGTTTAACGTGCAGAAAATACTCTTTTCCATCACTTTTTGGATTTTATATGATTGCTATTGCGGGTGCAAACAATAACATATGATGCTCAAATTAAAGCTTATCTTCAAAGCTAAGAACAGTTGAGGGGAGGAGGGTGTGATCCAAGCGTTTCGCCCCTATCTCTTGTAGTCAAAGTTTAATTTTATTGTTATGGAGCAAAATATATCAATTAATTGCTTAAAGTGCGGAAATTAGGCGGAGATTATCTGTTCCAAATTTTACTAGTGTGTTTTTTAAAAATTAGGAAAAATCTTGCAATCCCGGAGGTTGCTTAAATTATCGAAGCTACTGCATTTAAATCCATATTCACACCATCAAAGTTCATCAGATAGAACTGAGTTGGTTGTCTTTAGCATTTCTGCTTTTAATAATGGCCCATTTTTATTTCGCCGTAATTTTTTCCTCCAATATATACATATTCTCTCTTTCATTACGGGCTTTATCCCTTCCAAACATAGAGGTGACAGGGTTCCCAATGTGAAAGAAACACAGTTGAACAGCCTATGAAGCTGAACAAGAAGAATAGTTTTATTAAGTGGCTAGAAAGGAGCGTACCTCTGGTCGGACAAGTGAGGAGCAACATTGAGGTATGTAAATCACTTGTATGAAGTTAGCAATGTCATTGGATCAAACACAAAAACAAGATAAATAGTTTTTTCCTCCACCTCGCGGATCAACTTAAGCAAATATATCAACTATAACTGAACGTGTCCCCACTTGAATGATACAACCATTACAATCATAGGAAGAGCATCAAGAAGGAAGAGAACATAGCTTAAGAAGAAACTGCCTATATAACAATCTCAAACATGCCACATCCCTGACAGGTAATGTACAGTGCATTCAGAGTAAATCTAGTTTCAACACAAAATTTAGGCTTTAACCTGCATCCTTGATCAAGATGGTTTGAATGAGCTTCAGCCAATCTATTTCGTAATACTTCTACATTGACCTGGAAAAAAACGACTATCAGATAACATATTTTAAAAAAACATTTTGAAGTACGTTCCAGTATAAAACAATTACCTACTCTTCACTAAACCTATAATGCAGACATATACATGCATAAGACTCAAATGTTAACTAAGGAGCAAATAAACTCAAGTGATACAAAATGCAAAGAGAGAAAACCATTCCCTTTGTACAAAAACAAATATTCCAACAACTAAATTTACCAGTTTTCAACCCTGCACGAATACCCAGAATGTCATACTTATCACTTAACAATAGTAGGTTATAGCAACAGTTACAAATCTGGTATACAAAAGATTCTGGTTTGCAGATAAAACCCTCCCACAAACAAGAAAGAGCAAGGCTGTGGTTGGGAAATATTTTTCACCTAAAACCCAAGAAAGTAACTAAACAAGGGTGTAATTTGATGCAAACAAGACAACAGTTATTGTAAATCAAAAACCTTCAGAAAAGTCTCGAATTACTTATCAAATAATTAAAAAAATTAGAAAACTGAAAAGTACATAAGACATTGAAATAAAAAAAGACTAACCTCATCATCTCTGTTGAGCCTAAGTCCACAAAGAGTGCAACAGATAAGATGACAGTTCTCTTTCAACTCCCCTTGCTTGCAGATGGGACACCAAACCTCTTTGCCGCCCTATAGGAAACATCAAGGTAATTCAACAAATCACCTATTATCAGAAGTGTCAGCAAATTGACAAAGACCATGTGAAACTAGAAATCATCTGAATTATGAAAGTGAAACTAAAACATATACCAGCAAAACCAAAAAGACAACCCTTGTGAACAGGTGAATCAGTAACAGCTTTCCTTCCATTAACCATTGAGAATTTTCGGAGTGACCATGCATAATATATTCATCACAGCACAATCAACTGGCCATCTCATCTGCTCTAGTATCATTATTAGACAACCTTTTGCCATGGAGGTATGACCGTTTTAAGTTAGGCCACACTGAAAGATTACAATCCTAATTTTTTTTTTCTTGTNGGGGCTTGTATACAGCGGTAAAAGAGAGTCAAATTAAAACTTGATACAATTAAGTTTGACCAACAATGCCATACTATGAACAGCATTCTCACATTTCAAATAAGCTAAAAATTGTAAATCCACGCTTACTGAAAATAGGGAGTTATAGGGTTTCTAACCAATTTAACAGGAAAGGAATGATGAGAAATGCAAATCGTAATTTGTTGTGGTTAATCTGAACTGACATTTATATAAGGTTACTTTTTTGTTTGGGCCACAAACCTTCTCGTTGAGGGTCATGTGCTCGAATACTGCACAAGCCAAATACTCGTCTTCTTCATCTTCCCAAGTTCCAGTAGAACCTTGTTCTGCAAGAAGCCAGAGCAATCTAACTCAAAATACAGGTCAATCTAACTTCCTAAAAGAATCTCTCCTCCATGAAAAGGATAAAACTGAAAAAGGAAACAAAAAACTAGTTCCATTTGGCAGACGACAGTTCATGATTTTCTGTCACTTTCAAACTTTGACGAAATGGGTGGGTCTAAACACCTCAATAACGCCTGGATTCTTTTTCTTGAGCTTATATAAAGTAGATTATCTCTACTCGGAATACTATGAAGTTCTCTAAACCCACAACTAGGAGAGCACCTAATTCCAGATGATGTGTGAAAGACCTTTACCTTTTGTTTCTTCCACCCTGAGATCTTCATAAAAAATCCTCTGCATTTCGAGCAACATTTCCTCACAATCACCTTGATAAGCTTCATCAAGGCCATCATATTCCCATATAGTATCATCAGATGCTGGGGAGAATTTTGAATTATCAAGACTCGTGCTGTGATATGAGTTCTTAAATTTCTGTATTTCATCAGAAACTATGTCCTCTAGAGATGACTTGATGAGATTCTGCAATCACATAGGCAAATATAAGTTCAAGGAACAAGCTAATTACCTTCTGTTAAGCACACAAAGTGGGACAAGTTGGAGTATAACTGATGACCACATTCAGAAAACTGACATAACACCTAGCTTTATAAGTGTATAAAATTTTAAACGCCAACTCTAACGAAACTTAAAGGTAAGTTCTATAGAGCGGTGGTTAGACCGGCTATGTTATATGGGGCTAAGTGTTGGCCAGTCAAGAATGCACACATCCAGAAGATGAAAGTAGCCGAGATGAGGATGTTGAGGTGGATGTGCGTGCACACGAGGCTCGATAATATTAGGAATGAGGATATTTGGGAGAGGGTGGGCGTTGCTCCCATGGACGACAAGATGCGGGAAGGGAGGCTTAGATAGTTCGAGCACGTGAGGAGGAGAAGCCCAGATGCCCCGATTAGGAGGTGTGAGCAGTTGGCTTTGGCAGGTACGAGAAGAGGTAGATGGCGGCCTAAGAAGTATTGGGGCGAGGTGATCAGGCAGGACATGTCGCGGCTTCAGATTTCTGAAGACATGGCTCTTGATAGGAAGGTTTGGAGGTCAAGCATTAGGGTTGTAGGTTAGGGGGTAGTCGAGCGTTTTTTCTCTTTGTACCGGTTGGTCTGATAGAGTTTTGTTTAGGACTGCTAGCGTGTTATGTTGTGTGCACACTATTTTTCTCTTTTTGCATAGTATTGGGTTATTACCAGTCCACTTATTTGCTGTCTCGTTCGATTGCTGAGTATTATTTTTCGGGTTTCTTTTGTTGTTACAAATTTATTCTTTTGTTCTTTTCTGATATTATTGTCTTCGTCTTTTGAGCCGGAGGTCTCCCGGAAACAGCCTCCCTACCCCCGGGTAAGGGTAAGGTCTGCGTATACTCTACCCTCATCAGACCCCACTAGTGGAATTTACTGGGTTGTTGTTGTTGTTGTCGTCGTCTTGTTTACAAGGGAAGAGTAGATAAATGACAAACATGTGATGTATAGGAGTCTAGTCTAGGATCCTACTGGATATACATAAAAAGGTAGAAAAAATAGTAGGGAAAAAAGATATTTTAGACGTAATGACCTAGTGAGGACTTGTCTCCAGAAAATGTCTACCCCAGCATTTATAAGGTTTTCTGATACCCCTTGACACCAATAGACATACCAGAGAAGAAACTTGTCCGTTTACCACGATGAGCTTTACAACCTAGATTTATTGTCTGATAGACAACAGTATCCTCAAAGACAATTATCGTCCGATCTTTACCAATCAGTACCAAAGAAAATCACCTTGAGAGAACTTAGAGATCACTTGTTGTTGTTAAGTGACATACAACAAACGCAAGTGCTGTTTCACTTACTTTTCTGAGCCAACAACAAAGGGACATTGACACCAAGGTTATAGCATTTCTGCTATTGATTGACATTCTATATAATCCTCCATAGCCACTTTCCAGGCATTGCTATGGACATGGGATCAGCCATAATATGCCTCGCTGGGTTTTCGCCTCTTTTCTTAATTTTTTGAAAGCAAAGATATCTAAATACTTTTCAGGAAGCTTTGACAAAAAAGATCTGTGCTAGAAATTTAGCATACCGTTGCAGAAAAAAAGGGGAAACATGAGGAATGATATAACCAAAGAATGTCGACCAGTTGCATGAAATGTTTATGGAATACGTACACATATGGAACAATGTGATTGGCATGATTTATCATCCATTTAAGGCAGAAAAACTTACATTCTGACTAATCAATGCATAGACTAAGGTCGAATAACAAATTAGGGTGTGCAAAAAGGAAATAGATCATGCCATCTTATCCTTCCGCAAAAGAAGGAAAACCACTCTTTCAACCAGACGTACCGGGAGATTAAGCCACAGTGCAATTGTTGTAAAAGGTACACATCACACTAGTGCTAACAATAGAAAACCCCTATCTACGAATCGTTCGCCAGTGATTGATCCAGTCTTATAATGAATTGAGGTGCCAATTCAGATAACATATCAATTTCGGCCCATTTCGAATTGCTTAATAGCCAATTGCCAGAATTCACTACTCAACAAACAACAGGTATGGAACTTTTATTGACAAATGAAGAGAAGTCGATTGCACTCCGTTGTTTCCGGGTAATTCTCATAATAATCTGTTGGAAGGTTTCAACAGACAGCAGTTATAGAAAGGGGCAGATCTACTGTACGTGAACTCAATAGCTTTCGCCCACAACCCTGTAAACATATTAAGAAATACACTAGATATCTATAAATATTTAAGTGTGAAGCCTTGTTATTATTGTAGTATTAACTTTGAGGTGCTTTTGGAACCCATAAATTTCAAATACTGGATCTGCCATTGAATGCTTACATAAGAGAAAAATCAATAATGAAACAGTAACCCATCAGTTCCCATAGAGTAGATGAGAAATTACTAAAAACCTTGTGTTGTTGGTCGTTGGCGAACCTTAATTTCCAAAGAAGGCGGCTTCGATCTTCTCGGACCCTTCTGTAGCAATTTTCTCTGAGCTACAAAACAGTTTATGAAAAAAAATATTGAATCCATCAATTTGCCCCAAATGTAAACAAGGGTATTCTAGAGGTAAAAAAAAAAAAGGAACCTTGTGTTTCCAATTGGAATAATTATTGAAGGAACTTTGAGATTTAAGACAAAGGCGAATCTTGAGTCTTTGTTCATCGTCTCCTGCCATTTTTTCCTAAATAGTTGGAGTGTTGGACCCTGGCCCGGAGAAGAAATGTAAAATCAGATGGGGAAAACTTAAACTTGCTTATTCTAGCGTTGTCTTAGAACAGGCAATATTAAAGAACATATTATTTCAATTATAATTTATCTTCTTAATATATTATAATTATCATGTTAGCATTAATGGAATTTCAAGTATAATTTATCTTCTTAATATATTATATCATGTTAGCATTAATGGAATTTCAAGTGATAAAGAGTGTTCGGTTCAACATACAAACCTACTGGGCCCAAATCTTTCTGCTTCCAAAAAAAGTGCTTAAGTTAGTCACAACAGTGTGCAGGAATTTCCTCTGGCATGGATTAAAGGAGAATGTGAACAGAACACCAATTGCTTGGGAAACAGTTTGTCAACCAAGATCAACTGGTGGAATAAATATCCTCAACTTCACTTTATGGAATAAAGCAACAATACTGAAACTATTATAGACAATATCTCAGAAAAAGATACTATTTGGGTCCAATAGCTACAACACCAATACATAAAGGATAAAGACTTAAAAGACATGAAAGCACCAGGGCAAGCAAGCTGGGTGGTTACAAAGATCTTTGAGGCTAGACAATGGGTAGCTTCTAATATGGACAAGTTACAGAAGTATGCAACTCAGAGCAAATTCAGCATAAAGAAAGTCTACATGGACAATCTACCTCAATACCCTAAAGTCACTTGGAAAAGCTTGATCCTAAGTAAAGGTTTGATTCCAAAACATCAATTCACCTTGTGGATGACCCTTCAACAAAAACTGGCAACGATGGATAGAATTCGAAAATGGGGGATTCAAGTGCAAAGTGAGTGTGCTCTCTGCTCAACTAGTTCAGAAGAGACATTCAACCACCTGTTCTTTGAGTGCCACTATTCCAAGAACATTTGGCAGAAGCTACTACTATGGACAGGAAAGCAGCGACAAGCGAAGTCATGGAATGAAAAAGTTACAGAACTGGCAAACATGACAAGGAGTAAACATCCCAGAGCTGCCATCTATGTTTTTCTGTTTGCAGCCACAGTTTATATAACGACCCAGCCGTTCGTTTTAAGAATTAATGCCCCGATCCCCTATTAACTGCATTCCACGTGTTTGTTTCTGCTATTATGAGTTGCCGGGAAGGTTTATTTGGAGTTTCGGAGAGTTTTGGGACACTTAGTCCCTAAATGAGAGTTTAAGTTTTAGAATTTGGACCGTAGTCAGAACAGTGTGAAAACGACCTCAGATGGTTCTGTTAGCTCCGTTGGATGATTTTGAGCTTAGGGGCGTGTTCGGATTGTGTTTTGGAGGTTCGTAACCTATTTAGGCTTGAAATGCCGAAAGTTGAATTTTTGAAGTTTCCAGTTCGATAGTGAGATTTTGATATCGGGGTCGGAATGGAATTCCAGAAGTTGGAGCAGCTCCATAGTGTTGAATGTGACGTGCTTGCAAAATTTCAGGTCATTCAGACGAGGTTTGATAGACTTTTTGATCGAAAGCGTAATTTGAGAGTTTTCTGGAGTTCTTAGGCTTGAATCCGATGTTAAATTGATGTTTTGATGTTGTCTTGGGTGTTTCAAAGGTTGGAATAAGTTCGTATGATGTTTTAGGATTGGTTGAGGTCCCGGGGGCCTCGGGTAAGTTTCGAGTGCTTACCGAAAATTGAATTGGACATAGGAAAATTTGATGTTAGCTGAACCTGTCATAATCGCACCTGCGTGAATGGGACCGCGGGTGCAGCGCAAGAGATGCGAGATTAGCCTAGGCTCTAGGATCCGCAAGTGCGAGGGGTTGGACGTACCTGCGGGACCGCAAGTGTGGTAAGTGAGTCGTAGAAGCAGAAATGGGAGTTTAATGAAATGTCGTAGATGTACTTGAGTTCCGTAGCTGCGGTCCCAGAGTCGCAAATGCGGTTCCACTATTCAGAAAAGGGGCAGAACGAGGGTTTAGTCTCAAAACTTGGAAAAATTGATTTGGGAGCTAGAGAGTGGCGATTTTGAGAGAGATTTTCACCTGGGTATTTTGGGTAAGTAATTCTTACTCGGTTTTGATTAATTCCCACGAATCTATTCTTAAATTCATCCTTTAAATTCGAATTTGGGGTGGAAAATGGGAAAAAAATTGGAAAGGTTCTTAGGCCTAATTTTAGAGTTTTGATCAAGATTTTGAGGTCGGATTGGAGTAATTTCTGTATATATGAACTCGTGAGAGTGTGAGGATTCCGAATTTGTAAATTCTACCCGATTCCGAGATGTGGGCCCGAGAGGCTTTTTGGGCGATTTTTTCTAATTTCGCGTATTAACTTCGAATTAATTAGTTGAATTAGTTACTTGAAGTTATATTTACATTATGCAATTACTTTAAATAGATTTGGGTCATTTGGGGTCGGATACTCATGGCAAGAACATGGTTTCGAGTTGATTGTGCTGGTTTGAGGTAAGTGGCTTGCCTAACCTTGTGTGGGGGAACTCCCCTTAGGATTTTGTATTATTGATATTTGAAATGCCTTGTATGTGAGATGACGAGTGCGTACTTATGCTAATTGTTGAAAATCCTATTTTCATTAAGTAACTATAATTGTGTTTTCCTTTCCCGTTTGTACTAGCAATTTAAGCCTACTATTAACTTAGGGAAGCATGTCTAATTGACTTAATTGCTTTACTTGCTCAAACTGCCTTATTTGGATGATGTGCAGCATGCTAGGTTAGAAATACCTGTTTTACCTTGGTATGAAATTGGAATTGAATTGAGTATTCTTCGTGTTGCTGTTGTGTGTTTACTTTGGGACTACAGGACGGTATCCCGGGAGATCCCCTTGCTTGTTTACTTTGGGAATACAGATTTGTATTCCGGTAGATCCCCATGCACATTTATATTGGAACTACGGGACTGCACCTAGTAGATTCCCCCAGTACTAGGTATTTATATTTGGGACTACAGATCGGGATTCCGGTAGATCCCCGCGCACTATGAGTTGGACTACGGGACGACACCCGGGAGATCCACTGGATATTTACATTTGGGGACTACAAGACGGTATCCTAGGAGGTCCCCAGTTGTTATTTCTGTGTTGAGCTGTATTCCTTCTATGATTATTTTGTCTCTGTTATAGTTGATGTTATTCTTATTATCCCGTGTTACTTCATACTGTTAGAATTTAATTATATTGTCGTATTCTATACTATTTTACCTTATTTTTTAGCTATAATCAGTAGGGCCCTGACCTTCCTCGTCACTACTTGACCGAGGTTAGGCTTGGGACTTATGGAGTATCGCTGTGGTGTACTCATGCCCTTTATGCGCACATTTTTTATGTGCATATCCAGGTACTTCGACTCAACCCTAATACCCTCGAGGCGAGGCGATTTTCCAGAGACTTCGAGGTATATCTACCGCGTCCACAGACCGAGGAGTCCCTTTCCATTCTCTCTTATAGTATTAGCCCTTCTGTATTTACTTTTGTTTAGACATTCTGGAGTTAGACACTTGTAGTTATTCAACAGCTTGTGTTTTCATGAGATTTCGGGTTTTGGGAAGTTGTTCAGTTTTGAGATCTTGTATTAGTATATGCCGAGCAACATCTTAAACGCTTCTATATTTGCTTATCTTCAGTTTTTATTTGTTTTTCCGCATTTTGTTCCTTTTCCAAAATTGTTAGGCTTACCTAGTCGTAGAGACTAGGTACCGTCACGATAGTTCACGGAGAGCGAACTTGGGTCATGACAAGTTGGTATCAGAGCTCTAGGTTCATAGGAGTCATGAATCACAAGCCGGTTTATTAGAGTCTCGCGGATCGGTACGGAGACGTCTGTACTTATCTACGAGAGGCTATGTAACTGTTAGGAAAATTCCACTTCATTTGATTTCCTTGTCATGCGAGATTTTTGATATCACAATTCTAAACTTCTATCTTTTATTCTCTCACAGATGGTGAGGACATGCGCTACCAGAGATGATTAGGCACCCGCGTCCCCTACTGGAGCCATCAGAGGTCGGGGCCGGGGTAGAGACCGAGGACACGCACGTGGTGCAGCAAGAGCACCCATGCGAGCTGCCACCGAGGTGCCACCAGCAGTTCCAGCCGGAGTCCAAGCACCTGATATGCCTACTGCTATTACTACTCCAGCTCTCCAGGAGACTCTTGCACAGTCATGAGCATGTACACCACTCTAGCTCAGGCATGGTTGCTTCCCCTTGCTGCAACTACATCTCAGGTCGAGGGAGGAGCACAGACTCCTGCCGCCCGCACTCTTGAGCAGTGAGTGCATGTTGATCAGGTCCTAGAGATTATTCCTGTACAGTCTGCAGTCCCATATCAGCTCGAGGATAGGGCAGCGGCTTCCGAGGATGAGCAGCTGAGGCTTGAGAGGTTCAAAAAGTTCAAGCCTCTTGTATTCAGTGGTCTAGCATCAGATGATGCTCTGGGATTTCTAGATGAGTGCTACCGTATCCTCTGTACCATGGGTATATCAGGATCGAGCAGGGTTTCCTTCACTACCTTCCATCTTCGAGGAGCCGCCTATGAGTGGTGGCATACCTATGAGTTAGACAGTCTGGATGAGGCAGCTTCCTTGACTTGAACTCAGTTTTCAGATATGTTCCTGAGAGAGTATGTTCCTCAGAGCCTTAGGGATGCATGGCGTGCAGAGTTTGAGCATTTGCGCCAAGGTGCTATGACTGTCTCGGAGTATGCTGTCAGTTTCACTAGCTTGGCTAGACATGCACCAGCTTTGGTTTATACTGTTCGCGAGAGGGTTCGCCGGTTTATTGAGGGGCTCATTCCCAGCATCAAGTCTAGCATGGCTCGTGAGTTGGAGATGGATATTTCTTATCAGCAGGTGGTGAGCATTGCTAGGAGAGTGGAGGGTATGCATGCTAGGGATAGAGAGGAGAGGGAGGCCAAGAGGTCTCGAGAGTTCGGGCCATTATTCTGGTGCCCGTGCTCCAGTTGCAGTTCGTCATGGTAGGGGTTATATGAGTTGCCCCGTTCATTCAGCTCTTCCAGCAGCCAG